TTCTTCACGCATTGTAGGAAAGTTATGCACATATCATTATCCAAAGAAATTATTGCCGATTTATTATACTGTAGGAATTAATTTTCCATTCCAGCGGCTTTTATGTATAATACATGACTTTTACAGGAATGGATACATACTTGAATTTTTTAATCACTTAATCCTGTTGCACTGAATGCAATATAGCGGAAACATTTTTCGCTTACTGTATTATTATTATTATTTCATTTTTATTACCGACAAAAAAGTAAAAAGTTAAAAATTCAAAGTAAAAGTAAAAATTCGAAGAACTCATCAACCCATTTGCATCGGTAAGCGGAATATTCCGCGCAGGACGATCGTCTTCTACCGCCGAGCGGAATATTCCGTGAACCGCGACTTTCTTTTATCACCGCTCGCAGAATACATATTCCGCATATGACACAGTTCACGTTTTGCTGTTAATCTGCGAACATTTGAGCTATTCTCATTGCGTTCTTAACAAATTTTACTTTTGTTAATTATAGTTTCTAACTCTCGTTAATTGTTGTGTTGATCTTTCTGACTGCCGTTAAAAGAAAATGATTAAGATTTTTGTATTAAAGCATCGTAATTGAACAACTTACTACAGGTTATCAGTACTTTAAGTATTAACACGCATTGTAATTATTGATTCCTACTTTATAATAAGAACGCAAAAATCGTGAGTAACTATGTCACTGATGATTCAATATTACTTATGTCAAAGTTGTGCAGAAATAATTTTTTACAAATTGCTTTCATAAAGATAAAATAACATCTCTTGATGAACCGTGATACTAAATACTCTATGGCCTCTTATGATAGCCTATAATTTCGCCAAGTTTACTGTAAGTGGTCTTGCATATGAAATTATCCACATGATCCAATGTCATTGTCTACAATCTACACTGTCTGAAAAAGAACTTAATTAATATTTGAAGGAAGGTGAAGACGAATTTCTATATACCCTGCAAGTGTTTTTTTTTTAAAGAGTAAGTAGTGTCAATCTATATATTTAAATTTAAAAAAATAACCTAATTTTATCATTTAAAATCGAATTTAGTTGCCCCAAAGGATTCTGACTATTATGACAATTCGGATTCAAGTGTAGAAATAGGATATTTCATCAAGTGATAGCGAAGTTGATCAACGCAGTAGTTTCGTAAATAAAAATTACGTATGAGAACTCCAAAATCATATGTCGATTGTACGTGATTTATCAGGCGTGAGCGGTGTAGCTGTAAATACACAAAATCTATCGTGGAGGAAAAGTCTTTGAATAACTTTTTGATAAAAAATTACATATGTACCAAATAAAAATATATCGATTGATGAATCACTGATGCAATATAGAAGAAGCCGTATTACATTATATTCAATTTATCAGAACTAAACGAGCGAGATTTAGTATCAAGTTTTATACATAGACTGTGTGATTCCAGAATGAGATACATCATACACAATTTTAAAATACACAATACGTAGGAAAAGATAAAACTAATACTGAATCTGCTAGTAGAAATGTTGTTATTAATTTGTTGAAAGAGAGTAAACTACTATACAAAGGATATTGTTTATTTATTGATAATTGGTACAGTCCACCGACTTTATATCGGGAATTATATGTATAATGTGCAAACAAACGTATGTGGAAAAGCGAGATTGAATAAGAAAGAAATGCGTCGGGAACTAAAATTACTCCAATTAGAAAAGGCACAAGCTGTTGTATATTCTACAGTAGATATTGGGACCATAAAGTGGAAAGATAAGGAAGATGCTGTAATGTATCATTTTTTATTTATTATATATATTTATTAATTACAATAATTACAACAATATCTAAATTACTAAATAATAGAAAAATACTAACAATGCCCCGAAAATTTCAAGGCCTCGATGTTTGAGACAAGACGAAACGAGATTCTGAAAGTATAATATGTCCTTAATCGAGGATGTAGAGATTTTCGATGATGAAAGTGACATAC